GAATACAATATAAAACCTCAGTGTCCAGCAGGACGTCACTTTGTCAGTTTTAATACTTGGTCCAGGTTTCATTTTTCCCACGACACACACATCTCTCCAGAGCCTTGCACAATACATCGATTTTATCATTTTCTACAAATAAGGACAAAGAAGAGTTTTTTTGGCATCTTCCAAAAGTCCTGTTTTCCTGCTAAGATGTAGCGTCTTCTTTCTCTGGTTCCTACCAGCAATAACCAAATGTTGATCTGTCTTTTTAGCGTAGCCATGTATACCATTTATTGCCAGTAACCAAATCCTGTCCTCCTGCTATAGTTAGTTATACGACATTTATTATGGACCCTGCACCTTACATTTAACTGTAGTCATATTTAAAAACGTATTCCTAACCGTCTCCAGTTTTTTATATGTGTGATAGTACGTATTTGTGGCACATTAACATCACTTTGTATTGGATTTTGGAGAGGTTGTGACAGGTGCAGAGTTAAGTTGAGTTTGTGATGGGGTGCAGATTTTATGATTTTATGGATCTGTCATTGTCGTGCATCCCTAGCGTGAATGTGTCTGTACAGTAAGTGAGAGTTTAAAAAGCTAGCTTCCCCAATTTGGGAGATGGAGTAATTAGGTGACTTCAGTTTTCCTGCCTTTGCTTACATTAAGCAAGCGCTCTCTCTCTCCTGTAGATTGGGCGTTGAGGTCACACGGCACTTTTCTGTACGCTGTTAGTCGAAGCAAATGTACACGGACCCACGGTGTGTGTGCAGGTCTACTTGTAAAGTTGATGTTAGCATTGATGCTCATTTTTCACTAGCGTGTGATTAGTCGACTAAATATCAACACTATAAGGTTAAAATAATTACAAACTTTTCATGGAGCTGATTTATAACATAACAAATATTAAGAAGCTTATACGTAATAGTACAAATCCTTAGAGCTCCAGTGCAGTGACTGTGTTTAAATGAACCACAATAATGTGGCGTTTACCTGAGTTACATGAAAATGTGAAATTATGAAACATGTCATAAAGTTAAGATCATTTAAACAGAGCTCAACACCTTAAAAAGTTAGACTGAGAAACCTTTAGGACATATGTAATCTATATGTGATCTAATATCCCTGGTACATTTATGGCTATATGTGCACCTTTGACAAAAGATTGTTATAAATCTTCTTAAGGAGGAGTGAAAAAAATGTGAACGAATTAGTTATAAAAATGTCTTAAATGAACAGTTAAGCTTTGACATTTTAGAAATTGTGTTCTGTTTGCACAAAACAATTAGGTAATTTTTTTTCTGTGTTTCTCAGAACATCAAACTTTATCATTGAAATTACTCATGTGTATTAGTGTAATCTGACATAATAGTTCCACTAAAAGATACAGTAAAAAGACTGAAAATGTCTATATCCGTAACATGGGTAAAAAGGCTAAGCTAAGCTTTTTGTAGCACATACATACAGTATTCCTGACAAAACACAGGAATAATGTATGGCATAATGATTTTAAAGCGGTACAACCTGTATGATAACAGATCAGATCATTAGTAGCTTAGCATTTGTCAAGACAAGTGCATGTAATAGCCCAAAAAATCCAATTATAATGTTAAATACTACAAATCCAGCTTTTTATTGATTTCCATCAACACGAGGATGTACGTAACATTTGTTTTGAAGGAAGCAGAAGGACACGTCTCTAAAATGTCAAACAGCCATTTTCTGAAAAGTCGTCATTTCAGCCAGTTTTGTATTTAAAAAATTGTTGTGCACTATTACTGCACTCTGGCTCACTTTACCTAAAGCTAGCCTACTTTATATCGTAGCATTAACCTGTAAATAACGTTAACGTGTTTCTTCTTTGCGTTACTGATTTGGATTCGACAGAATCAGTCCAACGTGCCCCCTATATGTGTGTGTTTTTGACTGTTGCAGACGACGTGGACGTTGGTGGAAATGAGGATTTCGTTAAGTGTAAAATGTAAAATGTTAGTGGTTTTATTTCAAGGACACCTTGAAGCACCTTAGCGTAGTGTCAGGTCCAAGATCGTTCGTATGAAAACTGCCATGCTTCAGTGTTATCAGGTCACACCAGTTGATACTGGACACTTGATGGTACTTGATGAATAGATTTCTTCATGTGTCAAACACATGTTTTGTACTTTGATTTGCTGCTTTGTTTCGTCAGGGTTCCAGTGAAACTGCCCTTTAAATGAACAGACGACAGCAGTTGATGCTCCGTCTGTGATGATTTCTAATTTAGTCCTAACCTGACAGTAAAATCCAGCGTCAAAAGTTAGCTAAAGTCCTGTTGCCTGTTTTTTTTTTCTGGTCTAAAAACAAATTCAAAGCATGACTTGAAATTTGTTTTGTACTAGTGGGCTTATAAATTTGTTTTCGGGACTATTTTAAGACCATTTTATGGGCATTTTTTATTAATCGTGTACTTCACTAACTATTTAGCTTAACTTGGCTATTACTAGCAATGTTTAAGCTACATCTCAGTGAAGTTTGAGCTATCTCTAGCTGACGTTTTAGCTCATTTTACACTTCCATATTTTTGCTATATTTTTAGCACAAAAATACATAAATATTCTTGGTTACTTTCACGTTGCCATGGCAGTTAGCTATAGTTTAAGCTATCATTTACTCTAAGCTCATTTGTATTATATTTTACTAAATTTGATACAGACCTAGCCATATATGCTATTGTTTTGGCTTAAAAAAACTAACTGGGTTTTTTTATTGTTTGTTTGTTTTGTTTTTTTAAAATATTAACCTTTTTTCATGTCTGTGTTTTTCTTTTTTGTGGTCACCTACCTATCTGTACTTTTAGGCCAATATTTACTTATCTTTTGTTTAGGTTAGCTAGTTTGTTGTAGCCATTTCAGTGTTAGCTTTCTGAGGGTTACACTATGACCAATCTTGAAACAAACTTTTACATATTTCTGCAATATTTGCAGCTAACCTTATGCCTATATTGTGCCGAAAATACCTGAGGCAATAAACGCCCATATTAAAGGACTTTGAAGGGGTATTTTTCCTGGAGCTTCCTGCTAATTCCTGGTTCTAGTTGTTAAAAAAGAAGTTAAAAATTTGCAGTTCTTTTTTCCACCACTTTACTTTATTGAAAAGCACTCACCTGAGAGACGATACTGAAATACTGTGGTTATAGCTGGTGTGTTCGCCTTATACTTTGAGGGATTTGAATGTTTTTTAATTTATTTAATGGAGGTGATATTAGGTGATATTTAAAAGCAGAGGATAGTAGTTAATACTACTGATATATGCACTTTGATGGAAAAGGAACTGTGTAATGGTGGGATTTTTTTTAGTGTTGAATTAAATTGCCCCCTGTGGATTCAACTTCAAATCAGCAGCAGGTTTTACAGATGAGATAACCGTTGGGTTTCAGAGGTGTCTGACCTTCACTTCACCTGCTCGTTGTTCCAGCTGTCAGCAGCTTTATGTCAGTGTGAGGCTTTTGTAAATCACCTTGTCTATTTCTACACTGTAACCCTCTGTGATAGTTGTCTCTGTCTCATCCATGAGCCTTTTGCTTTCCCTGCATCCTTCTGTTTTCCCATCGTGACCGTAATCAAGAGGGAATCTTACGTTTCCCACCAGTTTCCTCCCAACTGAAGACTGTTATACTTCCTGAAAGAGGTGACGTGCTGTGGCTTTGGTGCCAAATGGATTAATGCGGAAAAAAACACAATGTGAGCACTTTATAATTCAGCCTGACTGACACAGTAGCACTTATTGATATCCAAAATTAGCTCAAGGCACGAGTGGCTTTCTTTTGTTTATGGCAGACGATGAAAGGAAATTTCTCAAACGCAGCCTCTGCCAAAATCTTACTCAGTCTTCTGTAACAGCATTTCAATCAAAGATAAAAACTAAAACTAAAACAAACCTTGGGTACTGCATGTACCCTGTTTGGAAGCTGATCAACGTTAGACAAGAATACACAGCATTCAGATGATGTGCTTCCAAAGTGAATGATGCAGTATTCGGCCACTCTCCAAGTACCACCAGTATGACAGCACAGGCCTACACTGTACAGCAGGGCTGTCAAACTCAAATTCACAGTGGGCTAATATTAAAAACTGGGACAAAGTCATGGGCCAAACTTAATATTTATTAAAAAAATGACAGGAATTGTGCATGTTTTCCCTTCTCTCTGGGTGTTTAATGTAGAATTGTTTCATATGGAAACAATGTGTAATGTAGAATTGTTTCATATGGAAACATGTGTAAACTACAATAATATTACAAATCCTGCCAGTATATAGTGGCTGTATACTGGCTGGCCAGGTCTAATATACATTCAATATGACCTTACAGGCCAAATATAATTACACTACGGGCCAGATTTGGGCCCCGAGCCTGAGTTTGACACATGTGCTGTACAGTATAGTAGGACTATAATATTTTCCCAGTAAGATGATTCGCCTGTTCGTCAGACAAAGCCATGCTGTACAGTTGACATAAAGACGTACGACATTGCCGTTGTGTGTTATCCACCGATTTCCCAAATTTACTCATTTCACAGTTGTGTTAAAAACACAAGAGTGTGTAGTTTATAATGTCTCAGTTATCTCTGGTGTACAAAGACCAAGTGTAAGCAGTAGTCTGTCCAGTTCAGCCGTATTAAAATACTACACAGACAATAACTTCTTTAGGTGCTAATAACTTTGGACTGTATTTTCTGTCTTTTATTGTACTGTTGACTATAGTGTCTACTGTCTGTAACACAGCAGAGCGTCATTAAAACATTTCAGTAATATTAAAACCTACAGATATATTATTGCAAACACTTGTTTGTCGTTTGTGTATTACCTTCTTTTTACCACTAGGCGCAGGTCTGTGATCTGAAGGTGGCCGGTGACACACCATTTGAGAATCACTACTTTTATTTTTATTCAGTGCAAAAAAAGTCAGTTTACTACATGTTTACAAGTCTATTGATTGAATATACCAGAAAAAAACACATATAAAAATGTAAATTGTTTGAAAAAGAATCTCTTTTAAAACAGAGCAGATACTTAGTAGCTGTAATTACAACACAGTAACAGAGGAGAAGACTTGACACACGAGCAGTTCTTGATGTTTTGTGGTCACTGGGACCTTGTACCCAGCTGGACTTGACTGAACTGGTATCACATCTTGGTGAGACGCACAGTGTTGAGGCGGACGCCCATAATCGTGGCCCCAGAAGCGTACTGGATCTCTCTCAGGATCCCAGTCCAATTCTTCTCTGACTCATTATATCTGACAAAGTGAGTGAGAAATGAAGTTGTCGTGAGAAAGGAAGGTTAGGATTAATACATCTGATAAAAAAAAAAAAATCCGAATCTATCGCCAAATGTATTATTTGAGACTTCTTTAGCTCTGTGATGTCATCACTCTGTGCCCACAGACTGAATGTCTGGATGGAGAACTGCCTGTGTTCCTGTGTGTGTTCCTGTGTGTGTTCCTGTGTGTGTTCCTGTGTGTGTTCCTGTGTGTGTTCCTGTGTGTGTTCCTGTGTGTGTTCCTGTGTGTGTTCCTGTGTGTGTTCCTGTGTGTGTTCCTGTGTGTGTTCCTGTGTGTGTTCCTGTGTGTGTTCCTGTGTGTACCCACCTCCAGATGTCGTTCATCTCTTTGGGAACAATTTCTTCACTGTCCTCCAAAGGCATCATGGCGAAGCCTCCTACAGCGTAGAGTGAACCAGCCAGAGACAGGATGTTCAGAGAGCTCCGCTCCTGAGGAAACTCTGTGAAGTCCGACCACCTGGAAATAAAAGCACACACAGGACAGAGCAGGGTCAGAGGCAAAACCTAACACTTAATATAATATAACAAAATATTGTTTATCATTGTCAACTTTCAGACAAAAATATGAATTATGACATTTTATACCACAGATTAAAGTCATCATAATCCTCCCTCAAATGTACTCTGTCTATGTAACCTGTATCTATCTGCGGAGCTCACTTGTTGGTGGCGATGTCGTACACCTCCACAGTGTCTGTCAGTCCACTGTCAGTGACTCCCGCTGCCACATAGATTTGGTTGTTATGAACCGTGACTCCAAATAAGGAGCGTGCAGTCTTCATGGGCGCCAGCTCCTTCCATTCAAACCTCTTGGCGTTGTAAACACACATCTTCTTTAAGCAGCTCCTGTTCCAGAGACAGGACGTTTGTTCTTGAAATTCAACAAAACATATACAGTGTGAATGATGGTTGGACTTGGCTTCATGCTCACTTGTTTTCATCCTTCCCTCCAATCACATAGACCAGATCATTGTGGGATATCGTTGCGTGGCCGTAGACTTGGTAAGGCACTGGTTCTGATTCGCCCCATTTAAAAGATCTGTGAGAGTGAGAACACAGGCAGTTAATCCAGGGTTCAGTCCACACCTGGGATTGAAGCTGGGCCCTGGGACGTACTGTCGGTCGTAGACCAACACTGAGGCCAGTGTCTCCTCCTGCTCCTTCAGCTCCTTCCCTGCCACCACAAAGATGCAGTTCTCTGCCTCGGCCAGGCCGAACAAGAAGCGCGGGGACGGGACAGGAGGCATTCCTAGCCAATCAGCACTGGCCGGGTCATACTGAGGTCACAAGAGGTCGAAAATTGGGTGTGGGTTATGGAATGCAGGCACATTGTTGTACTTTATACACATTGCAGGAAATGTTCTCCAGAGGACATGAATAAGTACCGGTAGAAAATGAAATTAAATGAAAGTTCTGTAAAATTTGCTTGAGTATTAGAACTATTTTAAACAACCAAAATACCATAACATTTGTATACTAGAAATCTAATTCCTTTTATTTACTGTAAAAGACAATTATAAATTTTCCATAAATTCTTCATGGAAACAAACTACTGTTCATGTTAACTGTAACTCAAACTCTTCATGACTGTCTCCCAGTGTCAGTCATACCTGCAGGAAGTAGGAGCACAGAGGATCCTCCTTGTTCTGTTCATCGTAGAACAAACCTCCTGCCACAAACACCTGGTTCTCCCTGGTCACCAGACTGGTGTGGTTTTTAGGAACTTGAGTGGAAAGTGATGCTACAAAGCAGTCGTTCTCTGCCGGGTCATAGGCCACAGCTCCTGTTTCATTTATCATCAATATCAAGTCCCTGGCAAACATGCCAAATCTAAGGTTATCGTTCAAGATGCCTGGAAGCAGATCTTCCTCTTCCTCCTTGTCTTCTGCCTCACCTTCCTCCCCCGCTCCACCTTCCTCCTTCTTACTTTTTTTTACCTCGGGCATTTTCCCCTCACGAGCGTCTCTAACCATCTGGAGTTTTTGTTGCATCTCGGGATTTGAGGAAATCAGCGCGTTTTTCTCCACCTTCTCTTTCAAGTAAATCTCATTGACCAAACGTAAACGAACACAGTCCAGCAGACCTGGAAGTTCTTTCTCTCTGTTGGCTGCATCTCTAGAAACCCAGTTCATCAAGGCCTCGAACACGGCCTCCTCTGTCTCTACGTTCAGGTTGTCATTGGCTAAAATAGCTGCCAGTTCACTGGGGAGCAGCTGAAGGAAGTCCTCATCTCTGGAGATGAGGTGGAATCTCTCGCAGGCGTAGTTTCGGGCGGAGACGGCCAACCTGGGACAGTCCAGCATCAGGCCGAGCCTGAAGACCGCCAGACAGTTGCTGAGGCTCAGACGCTTTTGTAAGAAGGAGACACACACGGTGAAAATGGAAGGGATCTGATACAAATTAGCCACGGCAAAGATGTCCTGGACATTTTGTTCTGTCACGTTGATCTTGGACGTGTACAGATACTTGAGGATCAGACCCATGACCCCGGGCTCCACGTCCTCCAGCACGATCTCCCTCTTCTTGCTCTCGTCCAGGTCTGACAGAAAAATGGAGCGAAAGAAGGAGCTGCAGGCACACAGGACCAGCCGGTGGCACGGAAACTCCTTGTCTTTGATCTTCAGCACGCAGTCCACCAGCTTGTCGTTCTCCAGCAGGTCGTAGAGGCCGTCCTGGAGCAGTGTCTGCTGGTACACCCTGGGCTCGTCCGTGGGGTTCATAGATAAAGCCATGTTTCCTGGCGGAGTGTGGTGCCTTCAAGGGGCCGAAAACCGACAGAAAGCGTCTCTTCTTTTCTTGTTTCACACAATGTGCGAGTGGCTCACACCAGCTGAACCAGGGGGCAGACCTCTTACTCAGCTGTCCAGACTCTTCAACTGAGCTCCAACTGGTGGGCTATTTATAGATCTGGGCTTCAGTGTGGAGCGAGGGGGCTTTTCTCTGGGATGTGAAATACAATATCCATGAATCAGTCCTGCTGTCCCACCTCCAGCACCACGCTGCCATGTGTCATACAGCTGACCCATGCTTAAAAGTGGAGGTTGATGTCAGGGGTGCAGAGATGGGTGCAATATACAATTCTGCCACAAGAGGGCGGTAGGAAATGCATACCGAACCATAAACTTGTCACAGGTAAAAATATTTAATGATTTCATTCAAATCCAACAACAAAAGCATGGACTTTTAGCCACCGCTGCTTTTCTAATGTTTTACCCACAAAAGATGATTTATTTCATTTAAAACACAACATTATTTTTTACAGCAAAATCATATTTTACAATTCTTTCACTCCTCTACTGTATTTACTATATCAAATCATCCTGGTGATCTTGACCTTTTTAATTGATGACATACCATAAGTTTGAAGCTGTTTGTTCATTGAGCTCTAAACTTGTACAGAGCCTCCCTTATGGGTTAGGTGAGGTTCTAAATATTCAGATGTATTTTTCTTCCTCTGACCCACGAGTGAAAACAAACATTTTCTGTATTTATTTTTTAACTTCAGGTCACTCTTTGTGTTACTTTTGAGGAAGCTCCTTATACATAGATTTGATAATATTTTAAATATTCTGCCTTGTTATTCACTATTTATTTTCCATTTACGTTTTGCACTGCAGCATGTAGCATTTCCGTTCTGAATGTAGACAGGAAAGAACATAGAACTCTGGCTCAATGTGTGAAACAATATATTCCAACCACTAAGTGCAATATTTAAGCTCTGAGTCAAATGAGAATAACACCGTCCCTGCACACTGCTCCCGGGCGCTTACAGCGTTAAACTGTTCACTTTGGTGATGGGTTAAAAGAGGTCACGTTTCGTGGTGCTGTCACAATGTTGTTGGACAGTTTAAGGTGAACGTTACGAAACTGCTTGTTACTAAATCAATGCGAATGAAAGACTGAATAACATTGACGTTTACATAAAATGTTTTCCATACAGATATATTTTCATTAAAAAGTCACAATTTTCATCGGTCATTATTCGTGATACAACTACTCCGACTTTTCTTTGCTTGGATCTGCGACTGTTTCAGGAGCAGCATCTGAAGCCGAGGCTTCGGTCGGACCCGTGGTAGCGATTGCAGGCGGTGCAGGAGGAAGTGGATCTGGATCCTGGATCATGGCCTGCCTCCTCTCCCACTCTTTTATGACTTGAACGAGGCAGTAGGTCATAAACATGACGATGACAGTAGTTATGGGGAAGCCTGAGGACGGGAGGTGGAAATGGATTAGCGGTGAGAACTAACACTTTCAGCTAAGAAGATAAATACCTGTGGTGACTACCTTTGAGGAGAAGCCGTTTGGCCACCATCTTGGCAAAGTCCAAACTGTTAATTGCCAGGATGTTGAACAAAACGATGCACCAGAAATTAAACGTATTTATGACGGCTCGGATTCTTCGAGACGCTGCCTCTGACATTGTCGCCTGGAAAATTTCAACCAAAGTAGCGTGTCAGGATTGTTGTAACAACAATGTAAAACCAACACAATTTCACTCATCTGTTTTTTTAACATTGATGTCAAGTATTTAAGAAGGAATGTGAGTGTGAGAGAGGAGTTCAAACAGTGTATAGCATCCCCTGCAGGGCAGTAAAAGGTACTGACATGTTCTTTATTGACTGTTACTACAGAAAAAGGGCTAATACTGACACTAAAAATATTAACAAACTCAAAATAATTGTATATATTGATGCTGAAGCCAACCTCGATGGTTACGAAAGGTTCCATGGAGAATAACTTGGCCGTCCACAGCTCAAAGTTGAGGCCAAAACAGTTGAAGAAAGCCCAGATGAGCACCACCTCACAGGGTCCCAGCCAGAGGATGGTCACACCGTAGGTGCAGAGTGTGGCCACCAGCTCCTCCACCACCTTATCATGCTTCCCACCCAGATGGTCATACACATACCTGGAGAAAACCATCACAATCATCACAGGATTCCACGCATTCGGATCAACGTCGCATTGAACACATTCATTTTTCTAATGACACACTCACTTGCACAGCCAGTCATTGATCCCCCTGTCAAAGTGGCTAGAGAGTGAAATAAAGAGTTTGTATTTAGTTGTTTTTATCATCATTAGTGTGACTATAGAAGTGTGAAGGAGCTGTGACTCACGTTTCAGCGAACATGTACAGCATAGTGATGCATTTCGGAGGCCTGGGAGGATCAAGATGATCCAGTCTGGACACTGTGTTGATGACTCCGAACATGACAGCTGCTTTGACCCAGTCATACACCAGGTTAAAGTAGGCCAGACCCACTGGAAACAATGTCAGAACATTTGTCATGCATTCATTTTACACTGAGCCCAGTTAACAGGAGGGGTTTCTGGGAGGTGGGTCCAGACCTAGAGCCCAGTCAGAGAGGTGTTTCATCAGCTTCACATCAGTGGGAATGGTCAGGATGTACATGAAATGAAAGAGGACGTCTACCACGATGATGACGCCCAGGTGGATCAGACCATGGACACTGATGTTCCACATTTCCCGCTCTTTCCTCGTCAAATCTGACTTGTTGACCTGTGGAGGGCAGCAGACGCTATCACTACTCATCTTATCAAAACTCACTTTGTGCACAAGAAGATCTTTATGAGTTTCTTTCTTTCAATTCCTGCCAGTATATCAGCGTCGAGGTCATTTAAACTGGAAGACTATTATATTTAATTAAATATACTTTTTGTGAGAGTTTTGTTTGGGGTTTTCCCTGTGGAAAACCATGGCTCAAAAAAAGGTTGGGAAATACTGACTTAAACGTGTCATGGGGTTTACCTGGACATGGAATTGATCAAAGGTCATGATGGGCCCAAAGTAGAAGAAGGGGAGGTAGAAGTTGTACTTGAGCAGCTCTATGATACTATAGTTTCCATCTTTCCTTTCACAGTTTTCCAGAGCGAAGCTCATACATCGCATTATGGTGAAGCCACAACCTCCATAGAAGAGAACGTGGCGCAGCTCAAAGTCACCATTTACAA